GTAAATATACATATATATATATGTAAATATACATATACATATATATATATATATATATATGTATGCATGTATATATAAACATATATATACATGCATTATACATGCATTATACGTTCATATATATATATATATATATATATAGTGTAGATGCTTGTCAATAGAAATATCGCATGTAAATTTATTCAATTCTTAATACGAAGAAAAATATTTTTGTTGCATATGTTGTCTAGGTCATATATATATATATATGTATATATATATATATTTATTTATCTTTTTATATTTTTACATACTATGTGCATATGTATGCATAATAAATATATACATATTCATGACAAGGTAAACAACAAATGAATAAACAGCAGCAAGCAGCAGAAGCAGCACCAGCTGCTGCTGCTTCATTCTGCTACGATGGGTGCTGCTGCTACTGCTGCTTGTTCTGTTCTGTTGCTGCTGCCTCTGCTACTGTTGCTGCTTCTGCTATCTCTGCTGCTGCTGCTGCTACCCCTGCTGCTGCTGCTGCTGCTGGCAGCAGCAGCAGAGGTGGATATGAGTGAAGTAGTAGAAGAGCTAAAGTAAATAAACGAAGCAAAGACTTCGAATTATTGAATGTTGATAGAGTTAAATATAAAAGATAAAAGAAAAAGAAAAGAAAAGAATAAGACAGCGACACTCGCTGCTCCTTTAGCTTCCCTTCTTTGAGGCAGACAAACAAAAAGAATAGAGTGCTCGCCTCATATATATATATATATAATATATATATTTATATATTTATATATTTATATATTTATATACTAATAAAGAATAATATTTTTTATATATTTATTTAATATTTATTTTATTATTTTATTATTTTATTAAAACTCCCCTGTAAAATATTTTTTTCTGAATAAGAATTTAATTATATATTGCACATTATTGAATATATAATTTATTTATATTTTATTTTATTTATATTTTATTATTTTATTTAATTAATTTATTTTTTTTAAACTCATCGTCTTTGCATTAAGACGGAGTCAATCGGAACGCCTCTTTAAAAACGAGAATAAGGACATGAGAATAATAATATAATTAAATAAGAATTTAATATATATAATATATATAGAATATATAATATAGAATATAGAATAATATTATATTATAAGAAGAAAGAAAAAGAAGAAGATTGCCTCGCAACCGGGCGTGCTGTACATGTATGGAATGCTCATATATATATATATATATATATATATATGTTAGGGTTTAGGGTTTAGGGTTTTTAGTAAGCAAGGGATGTAAGGAAGCCTACAACACAGCCGAAGCCTACAGAAAGAACAGTAAGAGGCCCTGCGAAGTTTCTTTCTTCAGGTGTATGTACAGCATTGCATGCATAAAAGAATGCAAGTGTACCGATCCATCCATGAGCAAAAGCAAATGAAGCCATTACAAACAAGTACCAGATAGGATTTGTAAAGAAAGTAATAGGCTGCTCGATATACCCTAATAAGAAGGGTGCAATAAATAATAAAGTACTCAAGCTTATAGGCGCATACATCTTTCGCGAAGGTCTCAACCACTTAAACCCCTTCACCCACACTAAATCCGGTGACGCTCTTCCTATTGTTTCGCACAGGAACCAGACACCGTATAAAACAACAATTTGATTAGGAAACGTCCAGGAGTATCTCCAGCCTAAGGGGCCTACACTCGGATACAGATGATAAGTATAACTGAAATGAAAGAATGCAAGCAGCAGCTCTCTCCAGCTTCGCTGTAGTACACGCAACCATAGTTTGCTGCTGCTATCACCTGCTGCTGCTGCTGCTGCTGCAGCGGCGGCCGTTGTACTGGTTGCACATTCCAGCTGCGTTTGCTGCTGCTGCTGCTGCTGCTCAAGCTCCTCAAGCTGCTGCTGCTGCTGCTGCTGCTGCCGTGCTGCACCTCCCCACAGCTGAAACCCCCAAGCATGCGATCTTCTTGCTTTCAAAGGATAGTCTAATCTCTTATCAGAAGCAGATGCACCTCTCCTTTGTGAATGTGCGACCCTGGCTATATTTGCTGCTATTTCTGCTGTCTTCAAGCGGAAGAAGAAGAATATAGCAAATAAGAAAGCTGTTGCTGCAACAATACTAAAACTAAAGAAGCAGAAACCCTGAAGCCCTCCTGCTGTATCTACATCAAATAATAAAAAGCAAACTAATGTAGACAAAGCAAACACCAGCAAACCCGCTGAGCCCTGACCTGCATTCGCAACAACAACAAACACAAATCCTTACCCTTTCATCTTCATATATATATATATATATAGTCATACATGTATGTGCAGCAGCAGCACTAGCAGCAGCAGCAAATACAGCAACAAAAGGGGAGACCCCGCACCGGCAACACTAACAGCAGCAGCAGCACTAGCTGCAGCAGCACAAACAACAGCAGCAGCAGCACAAACAAGAGCAGCAGCAGCACAAACAACAGCAGCAGCAGCAGCACAAACAAGAGCAGCAGCGCTTACCGAGTGAGACAGCAGCAACATATCCAGGTCTGATCTGAGAGGCAAGTGTATATCCAACCCCTTGAATAAGGCCTTGACAGCAGCCCATGAAGATGTTGATGACGAGAACAACAGCAAGAAAAGTAATCTGAATAGTGTTTAAAGGAGTCTGATCAGCAGCATCTTCTTTTGTAAGATGTGCAGACATTTGTATGCTCCCATCAGGGTCCGCTTGAGGCATTACTGCGACTGCTGCTGCTAAACATAACCCTAAGACCCCACTTCCTACAGAAGCAAAGACAACTAATAAAGGGATAGGCCTCGATAGCCTCATCAGAACAAGCTGCATAAATAAGTTCGCAACTTGGTAGAGACCTAAGAATAGATTATTCAGCTCAGGGCGACGCAGCTTCTGCAATAAGATAAAGGGAAGTGTTTGAATAACGAAGTTCCAGCAGATCAATGATGTACACCCTAATAAAACAAACATCATGTATATAGGAGGCTTCTGCGGGCACTCTATAGCTTCCTCTGGGGGTAATACAGATACCGCAATATCTGCACCATCTTCGCTACCTCTCTTGCTGCTGCCGTTGCTGCTCTTGTTGCTGCTGCTGCTTCCCAAAGCCTCCCTGCTAGCTCCTTGTGAAGCTACAGGTAGCGCTGTGCTGGAGTAGCTGCCGCTTCCCATCCACTTCGGCTGCTGCAACAGCCCTCCAGCAGCACCAGAACGTGCATTATCAGAGCCTGCTTCACACTGCTTACCACCCCCCTCTCCAGGGCTTTGCAATGCTGTAAACCCAGCAGGAACAGAGGCAGGAGAAGGGGCAGCCATCGTGCATGCAAAGAAAGGCAGAACGAAATGCTCTCGCCGCTTCAAACAAGGGATATGCTTCTCTATTGTGTAGGTATAAAGGGCCCCATACAGCTTTCTGATGGGTCCGTCGGGGGTAAAATAAGCGAAATAAAAACAAAATAAAAAGAAAACAAACTTTTGTTGTTTTATTCAATCTCGGAGAGCATTCAAACACCAGTGATATGCAATCAGATGCATACACCGTACCAGCCACGACCGCAAGAGCCCTAAAAAGAGCTCTCTAGGGCGGTAACCAGCGCAATACACGCAGAATTAAAAGGAATATTCAACAGGAATATTCAAAGACGCTTTGTCTTTCAATTTAAACATGAATTTACAGCATAAACAAGGTAGGAATACCGCAGCCGTCAGGGGCTTGCGAGTGGTGGGGCAACAGCATGTGCAAGGTTTTCTTCAGAAATCCTCGCGGAGAATGATTGAATTTAACAGGAAATCCTTTTATTTAACAATTTACCGGCATTTTATTCATGAAAACTCAAAGAAAATACACACAGACAAGAACAAGCACTTCACCATAAAAAACTTGAACGCTTCCTCCCTACAGCTGCACACAGCCACCCACGCGTCTCAAGACCTTACAATAAATGAAAAGCTGCAGTTTTTTGTTTTTCATAAATAAATTGACTTCTTTTTATTGGTTTTCATGAAGAAACCTCGAAATAAACCCGACCCACATGCGCAGCCATACCCCCAGACAGCGCTAGAGATGAGTGCAAGGGAACGGAACATACTTAGAAAATTTGAGGCTGTGAGGCGATCAAAGGATAATGAAACAAATAATTAAAATAAAATACGAAATAATGCAAAAGGTAAACAGAGAGAATTTACTTTGTGAGTATATTCAGGGGGGGGGGGAGCCGTCTTGCTATGAAGGAGGCAGAGGATGTACAGCGGAGTAGAAACGAATTAAAATATTGCAATTCTTTTGATTTCTTCTCAAAAATAAACACTTTAACTTTCCCTCAGTGTTTTTAAAGACATACTTTTGGTGATTATTCTGCAGATTCTCTTACAATCTCACTGCTTGCTGCTGCAGCTTGCAACAACATGGAGGAATAAAACAAGAAAAAAACCTCTTATTTTGCTTGCAGCAACACCGTAAATAATATTTAAAAGTAAAATATCTTTTATTTCTCTGCAAAGAGCAGCGCGGCAGCAACTTACTCGCATAAACACCGAAGGTCTGCGTATAATCTAAACTGGCAAGGGTTTAGGGTTTAGGGTTCATTCATTAGATTTGATTCGAGGGTTTAGGGTTTAGAATTAAGAAATAATATCTGAGGGTTTAGGGTTCAAATATTAGATATGACCCGAGAATTTAAGGCTTAAGGGTTTAGGGTTTAGGGTATAGGGTTTAGAACCCCAAACCCTAGCCCTACGAAAAACTGCTTTTGCAAAGAAAGCTGACGCTCCACGCAGCACAGCAGCTGCAGCAGCAGCAACAGCAACAGCAGCAACAGCAGCAGCACCTAGAAGTGAGCAGACGATTGTTATTCAAAATATACCACCGCACTGCAAGGGAGGCAAAGGAAAGCTAGCAGCCATAGGGGCCCCCGCTACAGGGGCCCCCCAAGGGGCCCCCGCATAGAGAGTTGCATGCACGGGGTATTGAGGAGAAGCAGACGGAGAGTAGAGTAGAGGAGGAAGTCTGAACTGCGGTGAAGAGGGGCTGCTTGAAAGAGAGACACAGAAAGGTGCTGCTGCTGGTGCTGCTGCTGCTGCTGCTGCTGGTGCTGGTGTTGCTGCAGTTCCTGCTGCAGGCGCTGCTTCTCCTGCTGCTGCTGTTGGCGTGGAAGCAGCAGCAGCAGCAGCAGCAGCAACACGACAAGGATCTGGGTAATTCGGGTCAACAACGTGGGGTGTACGTACACTCCAAAGGGGGGCAGCAGCACAACAACCTGGGCTGCAGCAGGAAGGCTTTGGGATGACCCGGGGGCAGCAGCAAACAGGGCCGTCTAGCAGCAGGTTTTGAGGAGTTGTGAGAGTGCAGCAGGTTTTAATATCATATTTTCTTGAGGTATTTACTGTGTGCTGCTGCTTCTGCTGCTGCTGCTGCTGCAGCTGCTGCTGCAGCAGCTTAGACTTCGGCTGCCGTGTTGCATGCAGCCGCAGATAGCTGTCGTCTGTATGCAGAGGCAGCGAATGTGCATGATCATACGTCTTTCGTACTCTGTTTTTCAGGAGTATATGCACCTCTGGATTTGCTTCTCGTTCTAACACAGGGAAAGCTTCTCTATGCTTGGGTATACGCTGCAGCCGTTGCTGCCTCAGTGCTTCTTCTTGAGCCCTCAGCAAGCGCCGAGGCAGCCTTCTGCTGCGCTGCTGCTGCTGCTGCAGCTGCTGCAGCTGCTGCAGGTGCTGCAGGTGTGGCATCTGCTGCTGCTGCTGCTGCTGCAGATGCCAGAACTTGTGCTGCCGATGCTGATGTGCGCCGCAGCATTCGAGAGAAAGCAGAGGGTAATGCTCAAACCTAACATCATCATCTACTAGATCCCAGTCTGTTGCTAGCAGCACATTTCCCTGTATATTTAACTCGCCTTTCACAGGCTTCTCTTGAAGAGGTGCAGGCTCTTCTACCACTTCTTTAGGCGTTGGGGGGGCCTCCTCTGGCAGCAAATCACATTGAATTGCTGCTACAGAGAGAGAAGGCCGCTGCTTCTTCCCTTCTGCTCTATGAGCTGCTGCTCTGCATGCAGCTACTGCTGCTTCTACACAAGAAGAATCAGAATCATGTTCGCTGCATGCACAGAAGCGGTGCACGGAAGAACAGCGGCAGCGGCGGGGGGCCTGGGGGTTCTGCATGGCTGTTTATTGCGGCTTTAGCTAGAGGAGAAACGAACTCAAAAAAGAAGAAATAATCATAATGCAAACGAAGAAAGAAGGCTGAAGCCTGATGAATGAATACAAAGAAGGAAGGCGATGCCCCCGCTGTGTTCCACTGGTCCTTTCATTCCTCTTCTTGTCGGAGGGAGGGTTTGTTGTGCATGCAAGATCAAACAAAACCCTACAAATAAAAGCTAATTAATGCTTGAAACTCAAAACTCACCAACAAACAAACAAAAAAGAAGAAAAGATTCATCAATACCTTCAGCATTATCATCCCTCGGCTCACTCGAGAGCAGCTGCTGCTGCTGCTGCCGACGCTGCAGGTGCAGCTTTCGTCTGCTTTAAAGTTAAATGCGTTGATACATGTTCAAAAGGCAATTTCAATAAAAAACCTAAAAATATAAATCAAAATTTATAAAAAATTATGCTTAAGGAGGAAACGCAGTTCACACAAACAGCCACCACGCTCCGCCACCGAGCGCCGATCCTCCCAATTGGAAGATGAAAACTGCAATAAAATGCGTTTGTAAAAAATAAAAAATTATTCCGTGATATAAATCAAATAAAAATGTGGGAAGATCATAACTGAATATCTTTGAGGAGTAATAATTGGGGGTCGGCATTCTCAGGTGTGCGTACACCGCAATAACGCCTCAACGGCACACACATGATCAGCGAGCAACAGCGGGGTATTTCATGCTTATTTGTTCTAAAAAAAGACAAATCAAGGTATAATTTTACATACACTTCACACACTTCCATATTATACTTCCAAAGAAGGCAAAGAAATACTTCATTAGTGTCGCCCGCCTGCACGAACCACCGAAATGTTTAGAAAAATTATTTGCAGTTTCAGTTTGCATTAAATGATAAATTCATTAAGTATATCTGCGTTGATTGTTTATGATGCGTACTGAATGAAATAAGCGCTTTAAAACCCCGCTCGGCACAGAGATTCATACAAGCTAACCCCAACCCCCAGAAGGAGAAAACTAACAGTGTAATTAGTAGTAACGGTTTTACCCTAATGCGTTATAATTTTAAGGTATAGATGCATGCATGCATAATACGTGCAAGAAACATTTCTTGTGATAGAGGAATTTTTTTTGAACAAGAAGTATAGAGTCCTGTTCTTAAAAACACCAAAAATCTGAATGCATTTCGACCACTCGCCGATCTGCATTGGAGATGCGCTGTACATACACCTCAGCATTGGAGATGCGCTGTACATACACCTCAACCCATAGCGGAAAGTAGTTGCTGCCTCAGGGCAGCAGCAGCAGCAGCAACAGCAGCAGCAGCACGCTATCATATTTATATCTCTTCCCATTGTGCCTCAGCGGAGGTGGTGAGTACGGGGTGTACGGACAGCAATCTTCTTTTTGTTTCAGCTGCAACTGTTTCTGTTTCTTTCTTTCTGGATTTTTTTGTTTGTTTTTGTTGTTGTTCTTGATATGCAGTTATTTCTATCTTTGTTTTTTTCTTTCGCTGCCATCTCTCTTCAATTCTGCGTTCTTTCTCGATGTTCACCGCCTCTAAAGACCCCCAAACTTTGATAGCCAGCTGTTCTACTTCTTTAATTGAATATAGCCTCATGGGTTTAAAAGAAACACCGTGAGGGTTAGGCTGCTGCCGCACCTGCAGCCTTCCTGCTGCTGCTTCCTCACGTAGCAGCTGCTCCTTGAGGCAGTACGCTGCTGCTGCTTGCTGCTGCGAGCACCAAGAAGGCCCTTCAGCAGCAGCAAAGGCAGGGCCCCCTCCTATTCCCTGAGCACCCCCAGACAGCAACGAGCTGTACTGACACGAGTTAAGACTGGAGGCTGTTGACGCTGCTGCGCTGCTGCCTGACTGTCTATACACCCCAACACCACCAAACAAACCATCATCATCCAGCAATGCAGCCAGTTCGTTGCTCTCAGACCCTCCTGAAGATGAAGATATATCTGCAGAAACGCATTTCTGCTGCTCCTGCTGCGGATGCTCCCGCTGCTCCTGTTGCTGCTGCTGCGCTGCCGGAGGCTGAGGCTGCTGTATTGGCTCAGAAGCAGCATCAAAGGCAGCAGTAGACTCCAGCTGTTTCTTCGCTGCTTCAGGTAATCCCTCGTCGGTTTGATATCCCTCCACCTTATGCTCCTGCTGCTCCTCCTCCCCCTGATGCTGCTGCTGCTGCTGCTGCTGCTCCTGATGCTGCTGCTGCTCCTCCTCCGGTTCTAAACAAAAGCCTCCAGAAGCATCGCATGCATCGGCGGAGAGCAGAGCCTCTGCGTCATCTTCCACCTCGGCCTCTGCCTGAAGCTGCAGCGTCAAGACCTCCTGGAGTGCTGCTGCTGTGCAGTCTTCGACAGCTGTTGGTTCTGCATGCAGTAGAACAGCTTCTGCTAGGGGTGTATGTACAGGGGCGGGTGCAGCAGAGGAAACAGAAACACAAGTCACTTCTTGTTCTTGTTCTTCAGGTTCCCCTGCAGTTTCAGAAGATGTACCACCAAACATTTGGCCTCCTATAGCGGCAGTTGCCACGGAAACCGCGACTCCCGCCTTCAGGTGTATCTGTATGAAGGCCCCATTTGCTGATGCCGCGGGGAAGTTTGAGTTATATGACTGAGCTCAATGAAATACCACCAGTGAATAAAGACAAATAAGAGGGACTGAACGAGAAACGCGCCTTTAAAACGCCGAGGAGAGCATAACAAGAAAGCGGTGGTGAGGGAGGTTCCGGGGCTGCATGCAAAGGGTGATGGATCTTGTGAATCTTGCAAATACTCGTCGAAACTTTGGTTTTTTATTACTTCTTTATGTCTTTCATGATTTATAATGACGATTTCCCTTAGGAAAAAGGGAAGCAGATAGAGAGGGGGCTCCAGTGGAGGCCGTTGCAAGCCGATCGATTCAATTCAGATTTTCAGTATTTAACACTAAAAGCCGGAACTTGAGTAAAAAAAGAGGGATTTCTTGATTTAAATGACTTCTTTTTGTGTATAATTGCCAAAAAGGCAACAATGATTGCAGAAAAAAATTTCAAGTAAATTCACGTTTCAGAACTTTTTCAAGTTCTGCCGACGGTTGAGGTGTACGTACACCTCAGCATGGCACTGGAAAGCTCCATTTTGTAGCTGTGAGGACTAGTTTATTCCTGTTTTCTCTCTCTAGACGCCACCATGTTGCCCTTTCAGTTGAGGAAGGCGGTGGAAGCCGCAAACCAAACGGCGCAGCAGCAAATGCAGCAAAACCAGAATGAAGCAGAAGGGAAGATGTCATCAGAGGAGCACAGCCGCCTGGCGGAGCTCCAAAGACAAAGGGCCCACTTAGAAATGAGACAGCTGCAAGTAAGGAAGGGGCCTCCACCCTGCCTTGAGCAGCATTACCGCGAATGCACAAGCAGCAGCAGAAGCAGCAGAAGCAGCAGCAGAAGCAGCAGCAGAAGCAGCAGCAGAAGCAGCAGCAGCAGCCGAATTCAATAACCACAGTAGGAGACGCTGCATCAGAACGAAATGTTTAATTTAAACAGATTTATTTGCTGCGGTGTACAGGCACAAGCGGGTTTGCTGACGAAGACTCAGGCACAAGTTGCTGCTGCAGGTTTGGAGTGGCTTTATGAGGACCCGAAAAACAGCGCAGAGGCAAAAGAACAAGAGCGGGTTAGCAGCAGCAGCAGCAGCAGCAGCAGGAACAGCAGCAGCAGCAGCGGTGCCGATAGGAGATTTGTCTGGCGTTGCAACTGTTGCTGAAGTGAAGCAGTGTATGTACAGCTGACTGTTCGTTTGTTTATTTATTTGTTTATTTGTCTTCATAGGAGGCCTTTCTTCTGGGGAAGCCGATACCAAACGTCGCTCCAGCAGCAGATGAATCGATAGAAAAAAGAGTAGGAGAGTCTTCGCTAAGTAAGGCATCCGCTAACTTTTATATTATTACTATTATTATTATTATTATTATTATTATTGTTATTGTTATTGTTATTGTTATTGTTATTGTTATTATTATCGTTATTATTGTTATTATTATCATTGTTATCATTATTATTATTATTATTATTTTTATTATTATTATTACTTTTGTTGCTGTTGCTATTCCTGTTATTAATTTACTAATATTAATATATATATTTCGTACTGTTGTTATTATCATTATCATTATCATATTATTATTGTTGTTGGTTTATCATCATTATTATTATTTACATTGTCGTTCTTATTACTCTGCTTGCTTTTGTTTGCTGCTGCTGTTTGCTGCTGCTGCTGCTGTTGCTGCTGCTGCGCTGCAGAGGCTCCTGCAGTGTTGCTGCCTACACAAGACCGCCTTAGGAAACTGCGAGAGGATCCGCTGCTGTTAATTAAACACGCGGAGATGGCGCAGCAAATCGCACAGGTGCAGCAGCAGCAGCAGATGCAGCAGCAGCAGCAGCAGCAGCAGCAGCAGCAGAAGCACCAACAGCAGCAGCAACACCGGATGAAATTTTTTTCCTTTCCGCTACCTGAGCTTGCCACGGGTCGCGGGCAGGGTTTAGTTTTTAGGGTCTTAGGGTCTTAGGGTTTAGGGTTTAGGGTTTAGGGTTTGGCGGTGTGTGGCTGTTCAGGAGTCAAATCCTCTGCTGCAGCTGCAGAAGAGGGCGCAACCAGCTGCAGCACCTGCAGCAGCAGAAGCAGCAGCAGCAGCAGCAGCTGCTGCTGCTGCTGCAGAGCGTAAGAAGTTGAAGAAAGCTCTAAAGAAGCAGAAGAAGAAGAAGAAGAAAGACAGGCGCCACAAACACACAAAGCACAAACGCAGCAAAGTAAGCAGCAGCAGCAGCAGCAGCAGCAGCAGCAGCGAGAGTGAGGGGGAGTACAGGCGCAGCAAAGAAGATATCGAGAAGATAAAGAAAGAAAAACAAATAAAGAGAGAGAGATCTCCAAGCACCCGCGCGGAGTACAGCAGCGAAAGCAGCAGACAGAAGAAATCAAGGATAGCCGAAGACAGCAGCAGCAAACGCAGCAGCAGAGAAACCAGCCGCAGCAGCAGCAGCAGCAGCAGCAGCAGCAGCAGCAAAGACAAAAACAGAGAAAGACACAGCAGCAGAGAAAGACAAAGAGACAGACCGCATGCATCAACATCTCCTCTCCCTTCTTCTGCTGTCTCCCTAGACACCTCGCAACCCCACAGCAGCAGCAGCAGAAGCAGCAGCAGCAGCAGCAGCAGCAATAGCAGCAGCAGCAGAAGCAACAATGGCAGCAGCAGCAGCCACAATAACAACAGCAACAGCAGCAGCAGCCACAATGACAACAACAACAGCAGCAGCCACAACGACAGCAGCAGCAGCAGCAGCAGCAGCAGCAAGCGAGTGTACGGTCCTAGTTTGGTTGGAGCTGGGAGCGAGCCTTCTCCCTTTCGGGTGTCTGATGATCTGCTTCCGCCTGCAGCAATTCGTTTGAAGGCAGCAAAGCTGCAGCAAATGCAGCAACTCAAGCAGCAGCAAGCTTCCCTCTTAAGCGCCTCTTCCAGCAGCAGCAGCAGCAGCAGCAGCAGCAGCATGCCGGTGGAGGTGAACAAACAAACGGAAGAAGAGCGGCTTCAAGCCATGAGGGAGGAGGGACTCAGGTTAGCCTTCCTAAACCCTAAACCCTAAACCCTAGAAGGATAATGCCGAAAGAAGAAGAGAGAAAGCAACAGCTTGCTACAAAAGATACGATTGTTTTTTAATTATCCTTTTGTTTATAGAACCCTAAAATGTTTTTTCTTTGCTTTGCTGCTGTTCATCTCTGTAAATACAGAGGAGCTCCAGCATGTTCTTTAGGGTTTAGGGTTTAGGGTTTAGGGTTTCGGCTTTTCAAGTTGTTGTACATACATATATACAATACATATATTCAGATATATATATATATATATATATTTATACATATATATAATATAGATATATATATTTACATATATATGTGCATATAAACATATATCAAAGACGAGAAATCCTAGGGGTATTTTACTATTATATTATTATATTATAATATGTTATATTATATTACATTATATTATGTTTTATTATATATATATATATATATATTTGTGTTTGTTTAATTATATTATATTTATATTTGTGTATAGGCGAGAAGCAGAAAAGCAGCGGAGGTCGGAGTTAATTCGACTGAAAGAAAAACTCGAAGAAAAAATCGACAAACAAAGACGAGAAATCCTAGGGGTATTATATTATATTATATTATATTATATTATATTATATTATAGTATAGTATAGTATAGTATATTATGTTATATTATAGTATAGTATATTATGTTATGTTATATTATGTTATTATAAGTTATATTGTATTATATTATCATATTTTGTTATTTAGTTATTATTTTATTTTATTTTATTATGTTATTTTATTAATATATTATGTTATATTATATTATATTATATTGTGTTATAGTATATTATATTATTTTATATTATGTTTTATATATCGTAGATATTTTTATATATTTTCGTCCTCTCTGCACAAGTACTCCGTTCTCAGTGTATATACACCTCAATATATATACGTAAATACAAATAAATAAATATATATATATATATATATATGTATATTTACGCCTATAATATAATATATATATTGTATATATTATTTATTTATTTATACATATTTACATATATATATTATATATGCCAGCGACCTCCTCTACTTGTCTGTTTATTTGTTTATTTATTTATTATTTGTTCATGCATATATATATATATATAAATTATTTATTTATTATTTTATTTATTCGATTATATTTTACTACCTTCACTGATAACACCATTGCAAATAAAACCAATGAAAATAAAAATAAAAAAATAGAAATAAAAAACCCTAAACCCTAAACCCTAAACCCTAAACCCTAGTAATAAAAGAGTATTTATTGTGTGTGTTTTATTTCTAAACCCTAAACCCTAAGCCCTAAACCCTAGTAATAAAAGAGTATTTATTGTGTGTGTTTTATTTCTTAGAGCTCTGAAGAGACTCGAGGCCTCCGCCCTAGCATTGTCTCCATCGATATAAATGAAGAGCAGAGAGCAGTGTGTTTTGCTAATCGGAAGCTGCAAAAAAGTATTAATCACCTTGAAGCTACAAACGCTGAACTCAAATAAACCCTAAACCCTAAACCCTAAACCCTAAACCCTAAACCCTAGAGAGATAAATGATAAGTTCTACTCGAAATTCGAAACCCTATTTTACAGACCCTTAACCGTATTGAACCCTAAACCCTAAACCCTAAACCCTAAACCCTAAAGTAAACATAAGGGAAGGGAAGGAGTGCGGTTAAGGGGACAGCAACAAGTATTTCTTTTTATTCTTTTTATTTGTTTGTATAATCGATATTTAAACGCCTGAGTTGTATTAAATAAAACAGCAAAAAAACAAAGCAAGAAACAAATAAATTAAACATTTTTATTGTATTTTGTTTGCATAAAGCAATTGAATATATTTGCATATTAAAAGCAAACAAAATTATATTGATGAAGTCTCAGGTGTATGTACACCGGAGGTCTCTTTATCGCTGTTTTGTTTATCCTTTCCTCTTCTCTTTAGTCTCTAGAAGACAAATATTAGGGTTTAGGGTTTAGAGTACAGTCTGTTCGTAAGCTGCGCATGCAGTACTTATCTCGTGTTTAGGGTTTAGGGTTTAGAGGGTTTGCTGTATATAAGATTTAGAGTTTCAAGGGTTTAGCGTTTAGAAGAGAAAAAGAGAGAAAAAAAAATAGAAAGTAAAATAAATAAATTAAAAACAAAAATGGGTTTATGCTGCTGCTGCTGTAAAGGGTTTAGCAGCAGCACCCTTTTCTGCTGCTGCTGCTGCTGCAGCAGCAGCAGCAGCATCTGCAGCAGCACGCAATCTCTTCAGTGCATGCATGCATTTAATGTTAAATGCAGCAGCAGCAGCACCGCAACAGCCCCCTAAAATAACCCGCACCGGAGCAGCAGCAAATAACCCTCTTAATCCTTCTTCTTGTGCTGCATGCAGCAGCGCTCGTCCAGCCCCAAGTATACCTAAGAAACATAAACACAAATATATATAAATATATACACATAAGTATGTGTATATAAAAATTAAAAACAGATTAAATATAAATATATGTATATATATAATAGAATTCGTGTAAGGGACAGAAGAACTGCTTATTTAAAAGAAAAATTTAATTGAATGCATGCAGGCTCTCTATGCTGTCTTTCTTTGGTTTCGCTGTGGTTGTTAGGGTTTAGGGTTTAGGGTTTAGGGTTTGTGTGCATACCGGTATAGTTGCAGTTATTTGCTTCTTTTTGCATGCGTCGAGCAGCAAATGATTTTGCTGAGTCTAAGGGAGAAGCAGCAAAACCTGAAAAGGACGAACTCAAGCCCCCAATTAATGCAGCAGCACCAATGCTCTGCTGCTGCTCCTGCTGCTCCTGCTGCTGCTGCTGCTGCTGTGTGGAGGCCTCTGATGCACTGCAGCAGAAACAACAGCAGCAACGCAACTGGGATGTATTAATCTTAATTAATACAATACGCAAAGATAATAAAAACAAATAAAACAAATAAAAACAAATAAAAACAAATAAAAACAAATAAAAACAAATTCAGAAAAATAAAATGCATGCAGCAGGATGTTGTACAATTCGACGCAAAAAAATATAACAGAAAAAATAAAACAAAAATAAAATAAAATAAAATAAAATAAAACAAAAAATAAAACAAATAAAATAAAATAGACAACACTAAAACAAATAAAACATGTGCAAGCAAAGTCAGCAGAAAGAACAGCAAATAACAAGAAAGAAACAATTTAAAAAGAGATATCTCCTTTATCTTATTCTCTTTGTGTCTTACGTTGATCCCGTCACCCCACACGATCCCGATCCCATCACCCCACACGATCCCGATCCCGATCCCAGCGGCATATATTTTGTGGGGTTGAATTTATAAAGTGCATTAATCGGCATTTGTAAAATACGTTTAATCGGAGTGAGAGTTCTTGCTGCTGCTCTTCTGATTTGTTCTCCTTTCTCTTGCAGCTCTGCTGCTGCTGCTGCTGTTACTGCTGCTCTTCTGCTGCTGCTGCTGCTGCTGCTGCTGCTGTTGGTTTGCTTTGATGCTGCTACCAGCGAACGCAGCTTTGCTGCTGCTGCTGCATTTGTTGTTCTAAAGAAGGCATCGCGCAGAATAGACAGAGGTAATAAACGAAGAAGAGTCATCGAAGAAGAGCGAGCTAACGACAACGCCTAAACATGCAAATGAACAAAACAAACAAAACTAAAAAGGAAATCTTGAAATAATAATAATAAGTAGAAATAATAATAATAACAATAGATAATAATAATAATAATAACAATAGATAATAATAATAATAACAATAGATAATAATAATAATAACAATAGATAATAATAATTATAATTATAATAATAATAGGTAAAACGAAAAGAAGAAGCAAAGAACGAAGCCCGCAGAGCCAGCAAAAGCAGACAGACAAATACAGAAAAGAAGATATAAAAATAAAACAACCAACCAACCAAACAAACAAACGAAGTGAAGAAATAAAGAAGAGTGAATGTAAGAGACAAACAAAGACAGAAAAACAAAGATAAAAGAGAGAAAAGAAGTATAAGACTTCTAACCTCTGCATTGCTAGCACATAAACCCTTTTGCTTTATGCATTTTATTGACTCAAAAGGAATTCTATAAAATGCTCCAACAGAATCAGCGCATAATGAAGCAAATGCTGTATTAAAAAGAGAAGGCAGCTCTGTATCTGCAGAACAAAAACAAACAAACAAAAATAAAAAAGAAAAACAATTTAAACGCAATTACAAACTCACTTCACTCTAATAATACTAAACAAGCACTTAATATCTAAAATATAAATATTAATATAAATATAAATAAACAAATATATATATATATATATATTAAAGACAGCTTGCAAAAGCTGCCTATACACCCCAAGTATGGGCTAGCGTTATGAGAACGAAAAAAATTAATTTTTAAAACAATAGACAGAAAAGAATAAAATAAAATAAAATAAATTTAAGTAAATTAAACTAAATGAAGCCCAATAACTACAATAAAATATAATTACATATATAAATAAACTAGTTAAACTAAATTAAACTAATTAAATACAATAAAAATAAAGAATAAGACATACTGCGAGTTAATCTATTAATTGTTTTCGTAGCTTTTGCATAGACAAAAGAACAAAGAAGGCTGTAAGGAATGTCTCCGAGTAATAAAACCGTCGGGGCTCCTTCATATAAAGAAGAAAGAGAATGTAAACCCTAATAAACAACAACAATAATATAATAATAATAATAATAATAATAATAAATTAAGCAGCAGCAAATAAAGCAAGACACGCAGCAACAGAAGCAAACAATAAAAGCTGCTGCTGCTGCTGCTGCTGTTGCAGCAACAGCA